TGATGAATACTTAAAAAAATGTAGTTATTTATAATACTTAAAAATCAAAATGATGATTATTAACATTGAGTAATTCTAGCAATTACAGATCAGTATATTATTATTTTCAATACCTTTATGACATTGTTTTTCAGGAAGTTCTGAGTAATTATAACATAAAATATAAATTATCATCATTTCTCATATAAAATATTTTTTTTTTACATAAAAAGATAAAATAAAATTAATTACCTTTATCCTCTTCATCATATTTCGGTTGATGATTATTTTCATTTATTTTATTTACTTCTATATTATTAAAATATTTCCAAGAGTTATAGAAAAGCGTGATGTTGTTCGCGGAAAGATCCTTAACGGAATTGCAAAGCTAAATAAGCGAGGTATCTATGTACAGCAGACGGGAACGAAAGCACCCCGTGCAATCTCTGGAACCATACCGTCATTCATTCTTTCTAACGCTATTGCTTTTTTTCTGAAATAAATTGACTTTCTTTGCATCTTTTGAAAAGACTCGTCGTTATTTTTGCGAAAAAAATGATTTCGAATGAAATTTTTTGTTTGCGAAAAAATGCTTTTATAACGAAAACTTCGATAAGCGGTATTATCTGGAATATTTTCAATGCGTGGGAATATTCGTAGCATAATCAGATTTTTTAGAAAATTTAGCGTAAAATTGTACCGTGACTTCGGATATATATATTTTTGCACGAAGATTACGTATATATAAAAAAAATAATAATAATAATAAAATAATTAAATCAATCTATTTTTGGTATGTCAATAGTTTGACGTAAAGTTTTATTATAAATCTTTATTTTGTGTGAATTTTTTTTTTATTACTTTCGATATTACATAATTAATATCAACCGCAAAAAAGATTTGTGATAAAATGTTTTCTTTACGTATAAAAAAAAGGCATACCGTATGCACTGTACATATAGAACTAATATATTTTGGTGATACAGGAACGTAATTAAAACTAAATTTCAAAAATATTACAAAATTTTGATTTTGAGCTTATTTTCCTAATATTTTGACTCTTTGCATTTTAATAAAATGAAAAGTTTTGGTTATTTTTTTTTTTTTGTAGTTTTATCACTATATAACTACCATATTAAATTTATGGACCAATTAAGTGTTACAGTATATAGCATTATTTTAGTTGCAAAAACCCAACTGCCATATATTGATTCATGATAATATTGGACAGTGAAAACATATCGAATTACACACCTTTACAGTCAATTACTTCACAAACTCTGTCTCAAGAGCCTATGATTATTATTAAATGATATCCTAATGTCAATTTACTGAGAAATTACGTCTTGAAGAGTGCGAAGAGTGCTGCCAACGTTTATTATCAATCTCCAAGTCAAGAACTTCAAGAAGGGGTACAATTATTGCAGATAATTCGGAAGTCGAAAAATTAAAAAGGTAAAGAATCAGTTGCAAACCGAATTAAATAACTTAAAATGAATGAGATGAAAAGAAAGATTGCAGATTTAGAAGGTCAATGAAATTTTAATGAAATCTTCAGAAACGAATCCAATAAGTTGCACAAAGAAAATAAAACTTAAACGCAGAGCTTGAAAGTTATCATTAATTCCATATACCATAAAGTCTAATCAATCTTTCGCAGTCTGAGTGATCAAATAAAAAAGTCAAGTCAACATCCCAAATCACAATAGAATTACTCGACGAAGGCAGTGCTTCTGAAACAAGTGTGAGAGTTATTTTTATAAGAAATTTGTAGCTGAATTTATATTAACATATACAATAAATTATTTTTTTCATTATTAGGCCGAAAGAAAAACTTATTATACTGGTGAATATCGGCTGGATTATAACAAAATGTTTAGCGATCAATCGAAAACCGTATATGAAAAATTGATACCCGAATTAAAAAAAATGATGAATAGACACTTTAATCCTTCGGTCACTCAATTATCAAATTGGTTACGTTCGATGCATAAGCACAAAAGAGACCAATTACGAAAATGTAATACAGGTCAATTAGATAATAGACGCATGCATACAAATGCACGGCTTAATGATGTGAGGGATATTAATTTATAAGTTATCTAATAATTAATTTTTATATTATATATTCGACAGAAAAAAAAAACCAACGATTAAAACCCGCCATTAAGCTATTTGAAAACAATGACGAAAATATTCGAGAATTCGATAAGAATGAAATATTATCAAATCAAATCGTTTTGATTTTCTTTCTTTATCTATCTAATATGGTCATATTTAAGACAAATTTCTCTTTTTCTTTGAACTTATACAACCAACGGAAAAGAACAGAAATTGATTTATTACTGGAAATTGGTTATTTCTTTAGATTTATTTTTAGAGTTTCTTGCATATCGCCAAAACCTGGGGTTTTTACTGATGAACTTATTCGAAAGTGTCGAATATTAATTTGAATTGCGTTCGTATTAAGAAATTTATGCCACACGATGATCTACTTATGTATAATTAATTTAATAAAGGTTATTCTTAGTCTTTTCATAAATATCACGATATAATATAATTTTTGCGTTAGTCAAGCTTATGGAAATTTTTACCACCCCAATCAATATAACTATATAACTTATTTAAATAAAAAAAATAAATTATTTGGTTTTTCAAAAAAATTAATTTAACCTTTTCGTACTTCTCATCATTATCTTAATCGCCTTTTATATTCTTTCGTCTGAGTTCTTGCACCTCCTTTTCCATCGTAACTGGTTAAGCTACGATCAATACACCTATTTGAAAGTCTACTACTAATTTTTATTAAGTTTTTGATATAGTTTTACCTTCTTCGGAATTTTGAAAATTTTTAAATATTGTTACCAAATGTTACCTTTTACCATTTAGACGATCTACAAAACTTTCACATAACAATCTTAAGATTTGAAGATGAACTTTGGAATATTTTTATAATGATCCATTGAAAGTAGTAAATATATAATAATTCCGATTCTGACCCACAAATTGACTTTTCATCTTTTCATTCTTATGCGAGTACATCTGTTAAGTTTTTATAACAACTAATTCTAATATTAATTAGTATTTCTTTCTTTTTGTGACATCTGATAAAAAGTCTATTATTAAATAAGTTTTCTGTTACTTTTTAAAATAAAAAATCCCTTTACAAATAACTTCTATAGTAAAACATATTTTC